AATACAGCAGAGAAGAAACAGTTCAGGAGGTTCCTGGAGCATATGGAAGAGACCTTCTTGACACACTGGTGAGTGAGCCAACTAGGGAAGGCAGCCCACAGGACCAGCTGTTTGCAAACAGAGAAGACCTTGTGAGTGACATGATGGTTGGAGGCTGTCTTGGGTGTAGCAATCATGGAGTTTTTGATTCTTGCAGAAGTAAGGTAGGGGGTCAGCAGAACTGCTACCCTGCACTTCCAGAGGCCAGACTCTGGCCTGTTTCAGAGCCTGGTTGACAGAGTCCCCTGGGAGGCAGTCCTGAGGGGCAAAGGAACCCAGGAAGGCTGAACATTCTTCAAGAAAGAAATCTTAAAGGTGCAGGAGCAGCCCATCCCCATGTGCTGGAAGACAAGCTGGCGGGAAGAAGACTGGCCTGGCTGAACAGAGAGATATGGTTGGAACTCAGGGGGAAAAGAAAAAAAAAAGAAAAGAGACTTTATGACCTTTGGAAGAAGGGGTGGGCAACTCAGGAAGACTACAAAGATGTTGTAAGGTTATGCAGGGAGAAAATTAGAAGAGCCCAGCTAGAACTTAACCTGGCTACTGCCTTAAAAGACAATAAAAAATGTTTCTATGAATGCATTAGCATCAAAAGGAGGGCTAAGAAAAATCTCCATCCTTCATTGGATGTGGGGGGAAACAGAGATAGAGGATGAGGAATAAAATCGAACAACAAAAAACAAGTATTTTCAGATTGGGTTGAGGATTAAATAAGCTTTGATACAGACATGTTACTTCAAAAACAGTCAGAACCAATAAAGCATTCTTGAGAACTCGCTTTGCTTTGATCCATAAGAGCTTCTGGCAAGTAAACAAATCCTGCATCAATATACATAGCTTCACACTATCTGAATGTGCAACTTTTAGCAAGTATCTAAGTAAAAAATTATACCTGGCTCCAAGACTGATCTTAAATGGTCTCTCAAAAGCTTAATGAAACTGTGGGTAACATATGGACTTATACGGATAAAAAACATGAAAAATAAACCCTCCTAAAAACTACCTAGAAGACGGGCATCCACATATGCACACATATCATCAAGGGTGGGCTCATGGAGCTGAGTCACATACATCCAAGTTTCTAATATTAGCAACTTTAACTCTCCACTTGATCATCAACTTTAGAGGTGCCCATCATGAAGAATGTAATGATGCAGTATTATACTTTAAACACTTTCTCAGTCTGTGTTGTATGTATTTTCCAATAACTAGTTCAAAGGGGATGAAAATTACCTCCAGCTATCAAGCATACACAGCAATGATTTAGATTTAACTATAGTAGCTCATGATTTTTGCCTAGCTTTATCAAAAGCTATACATAAGTGTTTACCAAAATGGATAGTCCCTCAGATGTCTTTGCTCATTTTCAGAAAGTCTGCTCCTACTCAAATGTTGTAGAGGGCTGAATCTTTTTTGGGGAAGTGCTGGTTTCTGTTGCTAATGGCTCACAGGAGTGGTTTTGGCAAAATAAAAGTTTGAAGTGAGAACAATATATCACCAGGTAATAAAATAAATATACACCTGTTACAAGGTTCTGATGTATGTGAAAGGAAAAGGGAACAAAGTACCAATCATCAAACCTGTTTATATAATTTTTCCATTACTTTATGCAACCGTTGCTAAGCAGTCATGTGCCATGGAGATGAGTGGAGTGTGAATACCTAGACAGATTAGAGAGACATATGTTACTGAACACGTAATGTATGGTGTGCTTTCACTCTAGAGTGCTGTACAAAACCAAGATACCAACTATCCCTTTTCGCCAAGGGGACTGCAGTGTCAGATCATTCAAAGAAACAGTTCAAGGGGTCTGACCTTGTGGCAATACTGGTATCACTTTCTGCTCTTAGTTACACCATTCTCTCTAGTGAGTTAAAACAGATAGAGTGAATGTATTACTGCATTTTAAATACAGGTTTAAATTAAAAGAATGACAAAAATTTTTAAAATCAGTACTTTTTATAATGTTTTTACAATGCATGCAATCTACTTCTTAAGACAGTTTGTAAAGCCTGTTGTATTCTTTCCAGAATCAACTAGAAATATACAATATGGAAATTTAGAAATGTCTATACTGGAAAAGAAATTCACTCTGTTAGTTATTAACACTGAGCTATCCTGTAAGAAACTTGCAGAAGAGTATCTTAAGAAGGTAGTTCTAGCAGCCGTACAGGGGAAAATGTTAGAGAAGAAAAGTAGTATAAATTCTTTTCTAAATAAATGCTTTTCCCTTTCCCCACATCTAATTTCAAATTATTGCTTTCTGACCAGTAACGTGTTCTAACATAAGCAATAAGAACAGTGGCTATAAAGGGCACGGGAAAAGCACAACATAGAATCACGAAACTTGGCAGAAAGAACTGCAGAAAAAGTCAAAGTATAGCAATAAGAGATGAAGATATAGTCACTAAGTGCATGGGTGAGAGATGAAGACTTTTAGTCAATAACACTTTCGGAGAACAAAGTAAGAGAAGCCAAAAGGAAAAACTTGCACATAATCAAGAAAACTGACAGCTGAGACACAAACCACGGTTTTCATGCCAGAGAGGAAGAAATGTGTACACTATCGCAAAGGAGGAATCAGAAACTTTTGTTAATAATCTAAACATTGAAGGAAAAGGGAAACTAGAAGGAAAGCTTGATAATAACTCAAGTGGGAACCTTTGCAGCTGAAATAAGCAAAATTTCTGTATGTGCCAGAGCAGGTTCTATTACTTTGCTCCACCTGTTCAGTAATAAAGTCAGATGTGATTTTCATCGCACTTCACTGCAGACTGGAGCAGGACACCCACAATGAAGTTTCAGCAAGACAGCTGGTGGTGCAAAGCTGAGCAAATGAGAAAAGTCTGAGTGGGAGTCAGGAGATTGGAACTAATAGCTGAATAAATTAGCCGTCCAATACCTTAATTTACTGAAATGATTTCATCATGAAATAAATGCATATCCTGTGTTTATTTCACTGTGTAATATGAAATTCAAATCTGCTTTTACATATGTATGCAATCAGTCTTAAATGCAGCTGTATTTATTGTCTTAAAGTCCCAAATTTCACACTTACAGAGTACCCGCTTCAAAAACTAGTATTTATCCACGGAATTGCCAAATACTTTAAGATCTTCTCACATAAACTCTCTTTCTCTTGTAAAATCCATTTCATTTGAACACACCAAAGTTGTTGATCATTTCCATGGCAAATATGAAGTTTTTAAAGGAGGACAAACTTGGAGCTCCAAGAGATGCCAGGAGCACTCTATGGAAATAAACAATTCGGCACACTCAAATAAATGTAAGAAATTTTGGTCTAAAAACCTTCTGTCAGAATTTGAGGGCAAAGTTCTCTTACGAACTTCCTCTTTGACTTTAAAATCAATTCATCTCCATCTTATCTGTTATACATAAATACATAAATATATCTCTTTTTTTACCTAAAACTGTGCAGAATGACATGCTTTATGACCTTTGCTCATATAGGCCCAGGTAATACAAACTTTGAGCAAGTACTCCAAATTTTCTGCACAAAAGTTCAAGTCCAAGCATTAAGACCAACTATCTCAACACTTAATTTCCCTAAACTCAAACAAGAGAGTACACCCCTACATGATGCAATGTGCCACCAATGGTTACTGCAATCAGTCTGTCAGGTTTAAATTTGCAATTTTAACAACAAATCAATAAATAATATAATTGCTGAACGCACAGAGTGTGCTGTTTGTTACCAGGTGGTACTAATAAACATCCACACTGGAGAGGAAACCTAACTGCCAGCACTGTTCTTAAATGACTGTGGTACTGAGAAAACAGGTTGCCCAGAGAGGCCCAGTATCTCCGTCCTTGGAAATACTCAAAACTGGCTATGAGCAATCTGCTTTAGGTGACCCTTCTTTGAGCAAAATGTTGAACTACCAGATCTCCAGAGAAGCCTTCCAGACTCAGAGATTTTTTGATTCAACTTGAAATGTAGGGATATTAGTTGTCATGTTTAAAATATAGCAGCAGTCTGCACTTCTTCCTATCAGCATCTCTGACCAGCTAAACAAATACCAAAACAAGACAAAAATAGGCTTCCCAAATACCCTTTCTGGCTATTTTTTCATTAGTTAGTCTTTGGTGCCAGGTCTGCTATGCTTGAATTTCTATAAATTGATAAAAGAGTTGGTACTAAAAACAAACCCAAACTACACTGCAAATTTAAAATTCACACATCAGGATGTATGAGAAGCTGCTCCTTCAATAAGAGATCAGATATTCATATGAAGTCTTATTCCAACATAGAGGAAGTAAAGGATATGTATAAGCACATAAATTAAGCTACCGCAAACATCAGGTTAAAAGAAGTTCATTTGAAGTCCTAATACTTTCTATGCCATTTCTACATTATATAATTACAGTAGAAATGGTGATCAAGGTTAGAGAAAGTCCACAGAGATCTCTTTCATAGCATCCCACAAGACTGAAATAACCTGAGTATCACCAAGTCAAAACTCATGACTCAGCCTTTCAGCTAATGAACACTGACATAGTTATAAAGCAAATCCACCACAGCATCCTTTTCCAAAACACACACTGAGGCTATGAAAAGTCATCTTATAGCAGCAAATTTTATTTATTTATAAACATATTAGCACATGACTACTGTGGTCAAATTATAAACGTAGCCAGTGAGTGCTTAAAATCAAGCAAAATGGCAAAGAAGTCACATTGGGGTTCCTCCTCTTTTGATATGAAGAAATGAGAACACACTTCTAAACACTGTGCAGAGAAGCATTACCTCCTTTTCTTCCATAATTTCACATGCTTTTACTCATAAGCAGTTTTCCCAAATAGCATGAATTTTGTTCACTGAACTTATTAAGGCCTTAAGTGATCATGATGGTATACTGTAACACACCTGATGTTTCAGCATAGCAAAGGTAAACCTAATTTTTGCTCTGGTAGCAAATATCAGTTCAAAAACTACTCACCTCTGTTATATGAGGATTGGGATTGAATCCACACAGGCTGCAGACTACAGTATGACACTGCGTGCATGTGTTGTAATTGGCCTTTTCTGGAGCATGGAGCAGAAGTTCAGTGGTTGTGCAAAGAGGACAGAAGGTTTTCTTTGGGGCTGACTCAGTAGGTTGGGTTGCACCAGCTTGCTTTTGCTGCAAGGGCTTTTCAGGCCCTGGTTGCTGGCTTGGTGGTTTTGTAGGTCCTGGCTGTTGTGCCAGGGGCTTTGTGGCCCCTGCAGGCTGAGAAGATGGTTTTGCTGGCCCTGCCTGTGGTGGCACTTGTTTTACAAGTCCTGTTTGCTGTGGAGGTGGCTTCCCAGGTCCAGGCTGCGATGGTTGTTTTGCTGGTCCTGTTTGCTGAGCAGATGGCTTTTCAGGTCCAGGTTGTTGAGAAGGCTGCTTTGGAGGCCCTGCTTGCTGTGAAGATGGCTTTACAGGACCTCCTTGCCGTGCTGGCTGCTGAGATGGTTGTTTTACAGATCCTGGCTGTTGCGATGATGGTTTTGTCGAAGGTGGGGCTTGCGATGATGGTCTAACATTGTCTGCTTGCTGTGATGATGGTTTTGCTGGGCCTGATGAAGGTTTTGCAGACAGCTGATGTTGAACGGGCTTCGATGGTTCTGACTGCTGTGGCTGAGATTTTTGTGGTCCTCGTGGCTGGGGTGGTTGTTTCTGTTCTACCTTTGAGTCTGCCGGGTGACCAGGGCCTGGTTTCTGAACTTGCTTTGGTTCCCCAGGCTGCTGCTGCTGCTGAGGCACTGGTTTGGAAGACTCAGTTTGCTGGGGAGTAGGTCTGGCAGGTCCTTGTTGTTGAACAGCTGGCTTTGGAGGCTGTTGTTGAGCTGGATGTTTTGCAAGGCCCCTCTGCTCCTCAGGTTTGCCTTGCTCCTTTGGGGTAACCTTTTGTTTCCTACTGGCTTCTTGGGCTGCATCTGAATCTGATATCAAATCAAAAGGATTGAATTTGTTCACAACTGAAGTGACTGCACTCAATGGATTGGCTTCTGAAAGAAAACTGGGCATCATACTTGGCTTCTGATCTTCTTTAAAATCAGTCCTGGACTTCGATTCCCTCAGACTAATAGAAGAAGGGCTCCGTGCAGGTGCCCGTTGTTCTGTCTTCAGCGCATCTACTGTTCTGCTTTTACTTAAACTTGGTGGTCCTGGATCTGGAGGCTTACCTGGTTGTCGGGGTCTTGTATCAAGCTCAGGATGCCTGCAGACAGAAAATGTAATCAAATTAAAATAATGCAGAATACTAGAAAAATGGGATAATATAAGATGTATCTGTGACACTGGAAGTGCTCTAGTAACAGTGTGAAGTTTCCTAGGTGCTTAAGTATTTGCAAGACCAAGGCTTATAACATAAATTGCATGTAAGAAGTATTTAAATGAAAATTGTTACTCTTTAAAGGCTTATACCAATACTCAGGCATAGGCTGATTTATTATTTAGAAAACAATCTAATATGAAAACAATGTTTAACCAGATAATTTTCTTTTCAGAAATACAAAGAACACAAAACTACAACTGCTTGTTTCACCTAAATCCAAATGACTAACTCTCCACTCTATCCCTTGGGTTACAAACATAGAGAAGACTGAAACAAACAGAGGTGTCAGAAAATTAGCAGATCAAAGCACAGCTATACAAGAAAAACACTGCACAATACTAAGTGTTTATGTACTTGTGTTTTGGCTACTTGTACAAAATTTGGATATATTTACAGCTCAATATGCAGCAGAGATTTAAACTCCTAAAATACAGGTACAATAAGGAGTATATACTTCTTTTTAAAGTACTTGTTTTCAACCCATCCACTCACAAATCAGAAGAATTTTCAATCAGGTAAACAGGTGCCAGTTCACAGAATAAGTCCTGAAGACGTTTTTTCTTTTTAAATAGAACTACTGTGGAGCTTTCTCTCAGCATCAACCCAAAAACACTGCCCGGCAATAAAAACAATATCTCTCTTTACACAAGGATTTTTCCAAATTTTCTAACAATAATATTTTGCTGTGTTTTCATATAGAAGAAAATAAAACTAAGAATGGGGAACCACAATCAAGATTGTGTCTTCAGATGTGGCATAGTATTCTACTTGTTGCTGTACTTGGCTGCAGCTGGAGGAAATAATATTGTATTCAATGCTATTGCCTTGTAGTAAAATATTCTATTCAGTGCTACCACTGTGCTTTTGCTGGAAGATATGGTGTTCTCTTCAGTGCCACTACAGTGTTGCAAATACAAAATTGTCAGCTTTCACTTTGAGAGATGCAGTTAACTGGTCTTGGTTTTCCAGACATGACAGTGGGTTGTGGACATTCATGAGCAAAACAAGCAAACAATCATTCATTACATTTAACTATATTCCTTAACCAATATATAAATAAAAAAAAAAATTGCACAGTTCTGAGAGTTTAATCAGAAGTCTGCAGAATTATACAGAGTAGACACATTTAAAAATATTTTTACACTGTTTATGTTGCCATGGGTTTACTATTATTTCTGATTGATATTTAGAGTTTATTTTACATACCTAGCAATGGCAATAGAAAAGGGCAAAGCTAAGTGTCAGCCATTTCTGTGCTCATAATTCTCAGAACATGGGATTTTCTCGCAATCTTGTATCCAAATCTTTTTGGGCAAATTAACAATTCCCACATGAAATGCTTGTTAAGGATAAACTATTTCCAGCCTTCCATAACTCCATTTACCCTTCTCCATTCTTGTAAAATTGTTGGCTGTAATACTGGCACCTTAATGTGCACCCACTGTGAGTACGTGTGTTTCCATTGGCATCAGTGAACATTGATTAACTCTTATTCATAAAGAAGATAATACAGAAAAGCCCAATGATAATATAATTCCTTCAAATATTCAGCATTTTTACTTGTTAAAAAGAACAATTTTACACTTTTGTTAGTGACTAGGTAGGTCTACCTGCAGTTCTGTTTTACGTTATTTAGATAAGCACTCCAGATTTATCTCAAGAGGTATTGCATACTAAGCAAAATCATTTCAACCATTCTATTACTGGCAGTCTGGTACACTTCCAGCATTCATGTTTGCAAATGTTCAAAATGTTAGAAGGCTTCATTCAACAATGCTGAGTGACAAGGGAAAAAAGAAAAGGATCAATCATACTATTAAAACTCAGTTCGGGAAACTGGAGGAAATAATACCCAAACCTTACAGTGCTAAGGTAGAAAAAAATAAAAAAAGGCAAACAAACAAAAAAATCCCAGAACTAGGCCTAGTTTTAGAAACTGAACTTGGACATTAACAAGAGTAAGTATGAGTATAATGTGGATTCCTATTGGAACAGAGTTCTCCTCCAGCTTTCATTTTTAGCAAAATAATGTGCTCCTTAAACTTCCACCTGATCAGATCTCAGGACTTGAAATGAGATTAAACCCCATGAATCTAGGAAATAAACCCAGGTGATTCTGCAAGGCTGCTGGTGTATTAGGAAGACCAGACTTGTCTTGCCTTTATATATAACAATGTTTCTAAGCAATAGATGGTTAACTAGTGGAAGAAAAGGCCTTGAAAAGACAAGCTTCTTGAAAAATGCTACCTCTGTCAAAAGCCAGGACTTAGTCTATTTAGTTTTAGGTAGGTGGAAGTTGAAACCTTCTTTTCTAGAACTATTTTACAACCAGCTACAGACTAACATTAAACAATTTTAATTAATCTGGAGAATCTGAAATCCTAAAAAAATCTTGTCTTTATTTTTCAATAATTTTCTTATTTTTAAACCCTTTGAATCATAAAAAGCCAACATTGTACTTAAGTCTTCAGACTCAACAAGTACAATCATTTACTCATCCCTCCCCTAATTCTTTACTTTATGCTACTATGTTTCTTCTCAGTTTGGCCTTGATTCACAGTACTCATCTTTATTCATTTACATGAACATTAGAGGCAAATCAAAGCTTACTTTGGAGTCAAGAGGAGATTTCATATATCTAGACTATTGGTCTAGTTCTTGAATGCCATAGCTATAAAAACCTATTTAAAAAGGCACACCTTCTTCCCATTCATCAGGATAAATAGTGTGAAAGAGAAGTGCAATACTATGCAGCTCCAGGATAGTTAGATCTTTTGGTATTTACAGACAAGACAGGTATAAACTTATGCATATTCCTAGTGGGTATTGTTTTGGGTTTTTTTAAAATCAATAGAGAGCATTTTTTTTTAAGTCAATAGAGAGCATTAACAAAAATATATATTTCTTCTGGAAAAAACACCATAATCATATTTGAGAAGTGTGACAGTCAGTAAGACATCTGAGCATTTCCTCTCAAAATGCAGAATCTTTTTTTCTGTTAATGTCTATTGTGACCAACTTAATGAACTGAAAACAAATAAACAAACAAAGCCAACCAGCTGCATTAGATGGTTCATATATACAGTTTGGTCATCTAATCCTTTCAGATGATGTGGAACAATTCCTCAGCAAGTAGACACTGACACAGTTACAGAGTCATTCAATGAAGCTACAACAACTAGAACTTGCTTACAAACTGACTGTGTATGTTTCAGCTAAACTTCCTAACCATGGGTTTTCTGAAGAAAAGTAATTGAAACAGGACAGAATGATTTCCATAGGTGCTAAGCATCCCAAATGCTGACCACAACCTAGAGAGTAAAACATTCAAAGAAAAAAACAAAGAAAAACTAAAATGTACATTTGGTTTAGGCAGTTCACTTTAGATGCTCTAGATCTAAATGCTTATGTTAAAATGCATAATAAATATTAATTGCATCTACTTAGCTACTGCATTTTTTAAGACTTAAAAGCTCAAAGCCTATAGAAGTCCTAGAAACTACAGTATGTATTTTATGGTGACAAGCATGCAAGTATGTTTCCTGGTACACATTAAAAACTCTAATTGCAAAAACTGTTACTTCACGGTATCATCAATCATAAGGAATTTGTACATTTTAAGACTTGGGTTACTTTGGTAGGGGAATGAAAGCATTGAGAACAGGTCATAATTACTGGTCTCTCAGGTAAGACTGGAGAACAGCTCCTATTATAATGGACATCACGGTGGAAAAACCCAGTTAAAAAAATACCTAACAGGCAGTGCAATAGGAACACCATAATAACACAGGGCTATATAAACTGGAAGCCAGAATTTCTCTTTCAATCACTGTTTCTGTCACTTAACATTTGGACTGGCATAACCCAGTGCTGTGAACAACAGTTGTAGAGCATCAGTTAAGAGGTATTTTCCACGTGTGATTTTTTTGGCCACAATAACTGAAAAAAAACCCTGAAGCTAAAGAATCTGAGTCTCAGCAAGCTAATTCTTCACTTAAGTTGAAGCCTGGAAAAGCCTGACCCTTGGTTCTCAGAAGAGTCTTACTCCATGGGTTTGGATCAGGTTCTTAATTATTCCCATCATTCTTGGTACATCTCAATAGCACAGAGAGGCATGTAAGAAGAGCAAGTAAAGCCACAACACAAGAGCAAAGACAAGTAGTAACCTCATTACAATGTGTCAGGCACAGAGATGTTATGATGCTACAACCCCACAAAAGAAACCAGTTGACTGTTAATTGCACTGAATGTTAAAATGTCAAGTTTGGATAAAAGTTAAAAGGCTGTAATTGGCAAATAGGGACTGCCTTTACTTTAAATGGATAGTGTTAAGTATGGTACACTAGCAAGATCAAAGTAGTTTCTGATATCCTAAGTATGTTTGCAAGAAAGCAGACATTTATAAATGCAGAAATATTCACATTGCAATGAGTTTAGCCTATTCTAACATCTTCCCAGGACATCTATCTACCTTACTTTTTTCTGGAACGTTAGTATGAAACATTAAACTTTCAAAGTCTTTGTGTCTTTGCTCACAGACTGTTATACAAAAGGGAAATTTGAATTCAGTTTTACAGAACTAAGCAATAAGATTTTATTTTTTTTCCCCAATAACATCTATAGAAGCTGAGAAGAGGCCTGAACTGAATGGTAAATTATATTATACATACAGTATTAATACCTGTTTAACAATTATGCACGACAACATAAAATAGAAAGACTTGATTCTCAGTTTTAAAAAATGGAGACCATCATCTCAGGTATAATCCCAATGGCTTCAGTTGTTTGCCCAGGGATGAATTTGGTCCCACCCTCCTTGCTTCTCTTCTAGAACTCACTTATAAAAACCCAGTATTATATAAAGTCAGTATGCATTCATCTTGGGTGAGGTCCATATACAAGAACAGCATTGAACGGTCGGTCGAGGACGCTCCTACTGGCATCCTTCTTCAAGACAAGCAACACACACAGCCTCGGAGGGAGAAGCGGGGAAAGCCGGGGATAGCCCGCTTCAGCCCCATGGACAGGCGCAGGCGGGCCGGTTCAGCCCCGAGGACAGGAGCAGAGGAGCCGAGAGCGGGCGGCGGCACCGCGGAGACACCCGGCCCTGGGCCGGGCCGAGGAACAGGCTTGTTGCACGTCGGGCAGTGAATCTGCCAAGAGGCAGGTATAGAAAGGGGAAGGGAATCACCCTAGCCCTCGCAGATGTGTAACGAGGTAAGGCCATCACTATCCAGAATACTGAATCTCCTGGCGATCAATCTAATATTTCGTCTCTTATTAAAAAGGGTAAAAAAAAAAAAAAAAGAAGAAAAATAATGGGGGAAATAGACTGAAACAGAGCTCCTCAATCCATGACTATTTAATGAAGGCAAATGACAGTTGTAGAGGTTAAGAACTGGCACAGTAATGGCTAGCAAATACATTAGCTCAAAAGCTGTCAAAGATTCAACAAGAATGTCTCCCCAGGAGGAGAAGCTTACAGAACCCACCAACCCCGGGGAGAGCTCCCCTGGCTACTACCTGAGCTGTGGGGTACTCCACAGGCACACACACACAAAACCGAAACGATGTCTGCAAATCTCTCCCCTCCCTAGAC